GTTTGTCTCTCGACTGCTGGAGCTTGAAGAGAGCAGTCATGATTTTTGTAACGCTGCAAAGACAGAAATAAAGGAATGTAAATACGTTTCTGTCTATCTCTTTCCCCTGCCTGGGGGGGCAGGAAAGAGGGGGGGTGTTCTTCTCACTCTGAGAAGGATTGCCTATCGCGACCTCTGCCTGGATCCTGCTGGGGAATGCAGACAGGGAGGTCAACAGGAGATCAAGCCGGGTGCCTGGAGAGTGGCCAGTTTCTCCTGATAAAGGCTTGATTCCCAACAGGTACCGCATCAATGGAGAAGGTAAAATGTAAAGGACCCCTGATCATTAGCTCCAGTCGTGGCCCACTGTGGGGTTGCGGTGCTCATCTCGCTTTGTTGGCCGAGGGAGCTTCTGGGTCATGTGGCCAGCATGACTAAGCCGCTTCTGGCGAACCAGAGCAGTGCATGGAAACGCCGTTTACCTTCCCACCGAAGCGGTACCTATTTATCTACTTGCACTTCGACGTGCTTTCGAACTGCTAGGTTGGCAGGAGCTGGGACACAGCAACGGGAGCTCACCCCGTCGCAGGGATTCGAACCACAGACCTTCTGATTGGCAAGTCCTAGGCTCTGTGGTTTAACCCACAGCACCAGCCACGTCCCAAACGGGTGGCGCGTCTCCATTTCATCAATGGAGAAAGTGGAGAGCATTTCCAAAAGCCAGCCAATGAACTTCCCAAGAGTTCCATAGTAGGCACAACCTGGATGACCTTGAAGGACTTTGCCCGTGGTCCACCACACAGCAGAGTGCCCCTCATGCTTGGCTTTCCTCTGACCCCCAGGTGAGAAGACAGGAGGGTGGAATGAAAAGTCAGAGATGAGCCTCCAAACACATAAATGCTCAAGAGAACCTGAAATTAGTTAGAAACCATCTCACCCATCCCAATTGTTTAATGTCAAAGGCTTCAGAGGCATAGATTCAATCAACAATGAAGAGGAAGCCAAGGTGTAAATGAATTAGAAGTCACACCTTGCCTGCCATTTTTCTTCCTGGGGTGAGACATATCATAAAACATTTACAGTTTCTTTGGTGCTAGCAATCAATGTAAAGTGCCATTTGTATACAGCTCACATCTTCCCAAACTAGGGGAAGCACTGAAAAACCTTCCTAATGTCAAGCAGTAATTGCATTTTTATAACATTAATCACCTTTTATCATTACTTTTCAATTTGTTGAGTCAAATGCCACATTTGCTAGCATTAGGCTTCTGTACTGCCTCTGCATTAATTACACAGACAGATTGAATTTGTTACCATGTTGTTAAGACCCAGCACATAAATAAAAATAAGTGGACTTCCTTTCTCAAGGTTCTAATAATAGGTTAGGCCAAGACTCCGATTAGTACTTGTCACATCATCCAAAGAGTATGATGAAAGCTTCTGGGGCAATGGGGGGAAATGGACTGTGAATTCAGAAATTATCCCTGCCACCTGAGGCAGTTCCTGGTGCACTTGAAAGACAAGGGTGGGGCAGTCATTACTATAGCAGGGCATCTTGCTGCTTTAGCTCTTTGGTTCCAGGCTTCTGGGGTGAAGAGCTTCACTGGTGACTTCTGTGTTAAGAAGATTTTGAAGGTTGGGACAAGGCGTTCCTGCCTGTCGCTGACAAATGCAGACCTATCACACCCGATGTCTTAATGCTGCTTCTGCCTGAGTTCTAGTTCCTTTGTTCTCCTTTATATGAGGTGCAGTTGTTTTCTGCTGTTGCTTTGTTAGCATTTTGGGGGCCATTCTGGCCTAGGCATGTTGCTGGATGCTGTCAGAGTCATGTTGTATGGACACTCCATCTTGTTCTGGGTATACAGAACAGCTGCTTCACTGGCCATTGGGATACAGGGATACCTTTCGGCCCAGGCTACTTGTCAGTGGGTGACAAGGCAGGGGTTGCATTGGGAGGGACTGTTGCCCACCTTTCATTGCCTGGAGGCAACCTTGCCTCACAATTTCATCATCGACTTGGTGAGACTGATTTCATCCAACAGACCGGAATCAAGATCCTTGCCAGCATGTTGAATGGACAAAGGGTCCAAGTACGTTGTTGGTCTCATTGGTGCTCTTGGAGTGACATGTATGGAAAGTGGTTGACCACCCCACCAGGGTGGATAGGGGCTACCCCCCTCCGCCCCCAAAAAAAGCCTGGTTAAAGGCTTTATTTTGTCTCACAGGGAGCATGCATTCCACATGGGACAATCCATTCCGAGCTTCCCCACTTTTACTGGGATGGTGGGTGTCTACTTCTCTGTTATGGGTTGCACCCTCTTCTTAGAGAGCTCTTTTTGAGCTATTGTTTGTTTTGGGAAGGGGGAAAACACACACATACAAAACAAGAATTTGCATTATTATACAATCGCTCATTGAATTTCTAAATAAAAGTCTTCCAATTCTCCCCCCCCCCTTTCGTTTGTTGTCTTAATCTTTTCTTTTTTATCTTTATGTATGTACAGTGGTACCTCGGGTTAAGAACTTAATTCGTTTTGGAGGTCCGTTCTTAACCTGAAACTGTTCTTAACCTGAGGTGCCACTTTAGCTTATGGGGCCTCCCGCTGCCGCCGCACGATTTCTGTTCTCCTCCTGAAGCAAAGTTCTTAACCCGAGGTACTATTTCAGGGTTAGGAGAGTCTGTAACCTGAAGCGTCTGTAACCTGAAACGTCTGTAACCCAAGGTACCACTGTAAGTATATGTATTTGTATTTTAATTCAATAAAGATGTTTTGGGAAGGAGGTGAACTAGCTGGAACTGATTGCCTCCTGTGGCTGTTAGTCCAGGTGGGAAAAACAAGTTAGGAGCTGACGGGATAGTCATCTGAGGCAGGGGTGGGGGTTACTGGGCGTGCATTTAAATTTGACCCAATGGGGCCACAGTGTGCTTGTCAAGTTCTGAAGCCCAAGGTGCTCAGAGCAAGTAGGAGGGATTCCTTCCTTTCCTTTTTTCTGAGGCCACTGGCAATGCCAATAAACATGCCCAGGAATATGGAGGGACTTTATCCTTCCAGTAATAGAGTCTCCCTGCCCAGACTATGTTTTGATCTGGTTAATCAGGTTACATGTTTTGTAGATCCTCTGAGCTGAAAGATTTTTAACAAACTATTCTCCAAAGTTGGTGTCCTAATCTTCTTTAAGAGTGCGATGGCAATATAAGCATACAATAGAGTTGCAGCTACGTGAGAACACGCCAGGGAATTTGTAATAATACGAAGAGATAGAACTCTTCATGATCCCAATATTTTCAACTAATTTATAGCATTCTCGGTCTTCTAAAAAAAAAATAACATTATATAATTGTCTAATATTAAATATGAAATGTCTGACAAAGGTTTACTAGGAAAAATTATTATCTGGAATTCATAAGAGATTGCTGGAGTCTAAAAAGCACATGGATCGTAATTTTGAAATAAGATGGGAAAGTGTCTTGGGAACTCAATTATCTGAAGAGAAATGAGAAAATAACTGCTTCAGCTGTGTTTATGTGTGTAAATGTTTAAAGTTTATATTTCAGAGACATTTCACACCTGAAAGGATAAGAAAAGTTAGGACCAAAAAAATAAAAAAAAAAAATTGTAGGATATATGGCACTGATAAAGCTGATTTCATGCATATTTTCTGGAATTATCCCAAACTCAAAGTTTATTAGAAAGATATTTTAGTACTATGGGCTGAGCCACTGATTGCTCCACTCACTAATCCTCTTGCTATTCCCTGACATTAATGCCCTGGAACTCCACACAAAACTCTGCTGTTGTTTAAAACATATTTTTTCTCCCTTTCCCATGTCCTTTCCTTTCTCGCTGTACTCAAACCTCTGCTTGTGGTTCAAGGACCCGATCCCCGCATAGTGGAATGAAAACACACAGACACGTGATATAAGGTTAATGGGCAAGAAAAGGCCACAACTTTATTGATTACAGCAAGTGAAAAGGTATTGGCTTAGGCATTGGATTACATCAGTTGACTCCACCCACTCAGAGAGGGGTGAGTCTAAAAGGGGGGGGTTATTCACCAGTAGGTGGAGCCTGTTGATGCTAATCCAACTATAAGCTCTCCCCTGATGTCACCGAGGGTCGTGCCATGGCCCCCCGCCACGCAGGCATTGGACAGAATACACGACCGCCGGATTCCTTTAACGGAATACCCAAAAATTGAAGGCGTAGGCGAAGGGCCACACCTAGCCCTTCCAAACACCACAACACTTTATTCCAATGCCTAACCTACCCACCAATACCACGAAAGTTGTGACTCGTGACAGGACGACGAAGAATGAGGCCGCATGGCTGGCACAGCAGCGATTTACGCTGCCATCCACGCCCCCTCGAAGGCACCTGGTTGGGTGCTTGCCCGTGGGCGTGGAGCCAGCCAGGTGAGTGGGAGGCAGGGGGCTAATGCCCCCTGCTTGAGGCGGAGACCGGCAACCGCCCACAACCACTCCCCTCTTTTGCAGGAGGAGAGTCTTTCTTCAATTCGTCATCTGCCACATGTGAGAAAAATAAAGGATGTGGGTCCCTCAAACATTCTCTAGTACTTTACTCAAACTTCTGCTGTGGTTTAAACCGACAAACCTACAATTTTCCTCTCAGTTGCCTCCATCCCTGCTTCACTCAAACTTCTGTCATCGTTTTAAACTACCACTTTTCCCCTCTCAGTGTTTCCCTCCCCCGGCCTTCTCACACCCATGGCATGGCCACTGCTCTCGTGCAACCTGCCTACTCTTGTACTCCCCTCAACTACCCTGACTTTGTGTAATTCTAGGATTGTTATGGGGATGTGGGTGGCACTGTGGGTTAAACCACAGAGCCTAGGACTTGCAGATCAGAAGGTCGGTGGTTCGAATGCCCACAATGGGGTGAGCTCCTGTTGCTCGGTTCCAGCTCCTGCCAACCTAGCAGTTCGAAAGCACGTCAAAGTGCAAGTAGATAAATAGATACCGCTCTGGCAGGAAGGTAAACAGTGTTTCCGTGCGCTGCTCTGGTTCGCCAGAAGCGGCTTAGTCATGCTGGCCACATGACCCGGAAGCTGTACGCCGGCTCCCTCGGCCAATAAAGCGAGATGAGCGCCGCAACCCCAGAGTTGGTCACAACTGGACCTAATGGTCAGGGGTCCCTTTACCTTTAGGATTGTTATGAGGTACTACAAATTCTTAAATGGGGGCTGCACAGTGACAGCCTTACATTTTAATGTACATTGAAAGAAATTATGTGCTGTTGTTGTTTTTAAAAAAACACCATGGAAAATTCCAAATACAGTGGTACCTCCAATTGCGAATGGGATCCATTCCGGAGGTCCGGCCGGATCCCAAGGTTTTCGCAACCCGGGGATCACTGTTATACGCATGTGCGCAATGGTAGACCGCTTCGGCGCATACGTGCATGGCAAAACCTGGTCAAATACTTCCAGGTTTGCCACTTTTGCAACCTGAAGTTTACGTAACCCGAGGGTTGCATAACCCAAGGTGCTATTGTATGCCACAAAAGGGGGTGAATCTAATTATAAGAAATCCTTCATAGATCAAAGTAGCAGCTTCCATTTTCAGGTGTCTTAGTCCAATCTGTATCTAATACAAGGTTCGCCAATGTGATGACCTCCAGATGTTGTCATGGTCAATAGTCATGGATGATCAGACTTGTAGTCCCAGAAACATCTGGAGAACACCACGTTGACTAAAAAGAGAGAGAACTCGCTGTCTTTGAAAGGTTCACTTGAGCTAAGTTTTCAGTCCCAAAGATGTTTGAAATAGCTCAGTTTGTGCATTAGCATAACATTCCAGGTTTTTTTCTCTTCCATATTTCTAATGTTGGCAACTGATCGTGTTTACAGTATTTAGCCATCTGTATTCTCCCCACAACTGGCAGTGTTATTATCAAACATCTATCCTCAGTTTCAACATAGCAATTCACATATCGTAATAATATAGTTATGAGGTCACTAACAGGATACCCATGGGCACAACAGCACCCTCAGTCACTCTCCCTTGCACCTTGATTTTTTGTTTGGAGGGGGTGTTGGCCAGTTTTATTTTTGTTTGTTTTATTTTTGGGGTGCATACAGGAGTTTGGGCTGGGGGGGGGTTCTAAGCATCATCATTTTCTCATCTGTGAAATGGGTATTTTTTTGGTACCCGCAACAGTTCCTTAGCTTTCCAAATGTGGCCCTGGGCCCAGAAAGGCTAGGGATACCTGCTATGGTTAAGGACATTATATAAATTTCATATTTTGCAATATTCTCATGCAAAACAAAATATTCTGCTATTTTTGTGCCATCTTACACTCTGGCCAAAAATGTTCCAGGTTTTAGAATTAACTTGGCTCCAATGTGTTTTAAAATTATAATAAGATTATTTATTTAAGGGAGCCAACTGGGCTCTATTCTAGGTTGCTCCCTATGCAGAGAAGCACAGATGACATTCATGACTAGGGCAGGAAAAAACCAAAGCTTTAGACTCTAAAGCTGAGAGTGTCATTTTTATAGTAGTTTTTGAATGCTCCAGATTCTGATTTCCCCCACTCCCTGTGATTTTTCTCTCTGTGTCTCTCTGTCTCTCTCTCTGCACTGCAACATATTTGCAAGGCGTTTTATCTCATATATTACCAAATAGTGTATGAGAGAGGGAGCTGTTCAGAACGTGACATGCAGGGGAAGCAAAGGGTGCTGGGCAGTGATATAAAGGGCATCATTGTTGCAGGGCTCCTAAACGTAAGCAAGTATATTCTGTAAGCTACAGTCCTCCCCTGGACGTCGCAGTCAGGAGCTGCATACATAATTAACACCACCGAAAGGACAGGGCTGGTTTGCGTTCGCAAACCACACATGGATTTCAGCACCGAATAACGTTTCCAGAAAGTGATGCAAAACACAGCACCGCACGAAGCACAAAATAGGGCAAGCAAGGAATTCGGCAGCAGCTGAGGACAAATTATGCAGGCGGCTGGGTGCTCAGCCAAAGGGGCGAGGAAGCGTTATCGACCGGGTATGTAGAGTTTCTGGCCAACGTGGGAATCAAAGTGGTGACAGGGAGCTGAGAAAGGAAGAGGTAATTTGGCACTATTTTCCGCCTCTTCCTTCCCTCCATTTCTTCTGGAGAGAAACCAGCCACGCCAGTAGGAAGGAACGCTGACAGGACTGGCAGTTCCCCGGGAAAACTGGGTTTGAACAGGACACGTAAATATTGGTTTGCCCATGGGAAAATAGAAACCTATGGCAGAAACAGTTTTGTGCAATTAGGCTGATGGGAATCGTAGTCTATATTGCTGTCTGGAAAATTTGAAGGGTCCCAGCTTAGGGAAAGCTGACCTGCACCCTTATTTGACCCAATGTTTCTCTCAAAAAATAGGAGGTAGGGCAACAATAAACACTATATTTCTTATTTCCAGCAGAAAAACAAACAAAACCCAAAGACCCGTAATATATGAAAAAGCAGTATTGCTTTACATTCCTATCGGAACCACCATTTTCATATGCATTTCCCACTTAGCACATATAGCCACTTCAGCTCATGAGAGAATCCTTTCCTATTTTATTTAAGCATTCGGGCAAAGCATGCTTCATATCTGTCTTTGGCCCAACATCCTTCCGTGACATGGAATGCCAGCCGTTGCTCTTGCATCTGACAATGGAATCAAGCAAATGCCAGCCTGTCATAGTTCAATTCACAGTGGACAGATGGTTTATATATGAATAAAATGAAACCCCAAAGAGGGCTGAGTAGACTGTCAAAAGTCCACATGGAGAAGGACGGCTAAAGAGTTTGACATGAACTTGAGGAACCTATCATTAAGTCATGCTTCTCCTATGGACTCATTTAACCCCAATCCAGCAAGGGAGGCACATTTGCAAAAACAGGTTTCCATGCGTGCAGCTGATTTGACTGTACCTGCAGACTGTACTGCAATGGTCACCAAGGCTCCCCTGATCTGACTGGAGGTTTGTTTGTTTTTTTCCATTTGGATAGGGATATCCATCCTATCCACACCCGCCAGCAGATGTGCATGGCTCGAGTTATCATGTGGCCTCGGGCAAGCCACATTTCCTCAGGTCACCATCTGTGACATTGACAGCTACTGCCCTGGCAAGGCTGTTGGGAGGAAGAAGACTCTGCAAACATTTTTCAAATCAAAATGCTTCACTTAAGAAATAAAGCAATCAACTAACAGCCTGGCTACATATTCCAGTGTGCAATGCTGGGAGCAGAGTGGGGGCCCACTTTCACCCCAAAACAAGGTGGGATCGCCGTCAAAATCGAGACCCATCTGACCAAGAGCTGGTTTGTATAAAACAAGGAGGTGGTGTTGGTGCATCTTTGAAATCCTTTCATTTGGCTACTGTCAGTGGTGACACTGACGCATTGAATTGTGCCTCAGGCGCTTCACTTGCTCCACATGGTGTTTGCTACCATGTGGGAAGCTAGGCCTCCACAACAACTGAGGGCCAAATCAATATATGGTTTCCATAGAGGCTGCTGAAATTTCCTTTGATGAGACATCAAAGTGATGCTGAAAGTCATTTTTTAAAATCGTCCAGTCTAATCAGATAGAGACTCTTCATGCTAGGACGACACCATCCTAGCAAGATTCTCCATGCTGATAGCTATTAGGTTTAACTGAGAGAAAGGTACCTTTCAGACACTTCAGTCATGGATTTACTTCATGGGATTCCTCTCCCACTCCAAGCCTCTAGGAAACTAGGAAAGGTTGAAAGGAAATAGTGTCCCTATTTTAGCTAGAACAACAACATCATCAACAACAACAACAACCACAACCTTGCACTCTCTCCTGCTGCTCCGCAACTTGGACTGCATAACACCTTTCTTGGAAGTCCCACCTACCTTGGGGTGTGAATGAAAGGAGCAAAACAATTTGTTTTTGATCCTAGACAGACAGACTTGAGAAAGCAGCTTTGCTTGCTCAGATGGTGATAAACACTGGGCTATTGTATTGGTTTTATGGCCAGCGCTGTCTTTGATGCAGAGTAACTTGGAGACAATGTACTGAAAGGAATATTTTCTTTCACCTTTTAGCATCCAATGGCAATCCCAAGAAGTTAATTGCAATGGGAAAATGTCATGCAAAGTTAAAATGAAATAATGCTTCCTGATCCTGAGTAATTCATTTGACCTGCTCAGTTGCCTGCTGTCTCCTGGCACGTTGTTGCTCCTATGGTAATATGATCTTCAAGATTGTGGGCTTCACCATTCTAGGGAGCAAGATGTTAGACTAGATAGACCTTTGCTTTTCCAATCTGAGCTGGAAAGAGTGTGGTAATCTCTCGGGCTGGTACCACTACAGAGATTTCATCTATTTGTCCTTTCAGTGACCAAACTGCTGGTGCAAGAGAAAATATAGAAAGGAGAATTCCTGGATGCCAAGATCCAATATAGGCTGTTAGACCTTTAAAATATGCTCTTGTGAGTGCCAAAAACTTCCCTCTAGCATAGAAAAAGACCATGCATTTGGTAATTTAAAAATGGTTTACTTACCAACTCTCCAATGGTCAGATTCATGTGCTTTTCCGTACAGCATTCATAAAAAGTTGCACAGGAAGTAACGCTTAGTTTAGTTCCAAAGTGGAGAAAATTCCTAAATTACGGGTATAGAAACTCAAGAGTGGCTTGTGAGAGCCATGCAGCTAAGTTGAAGGAATCAGCTTAGCTTTTTCACATGCTGAGTTCATCAGGAGACTGGAGGAACAAAGGCTTGATAAACCTAGTTCCTGCCAAGGTGAGCTAAGCCTGGCAGGACAGCTTACTCTGTGGTCTTAACCCCTTCATGCATTAATTTAGTCTTAAGCCAGATCTGCACCCTACATTAAAAGCACTGTTGTACTACTATAACAGTCTTGGCTTCCACCGAAGTATCCTGAAAACTGTAGTTTGATAAGGGTGCTGAGAGTTGTTAGGAGACCCCTATTCCCCTCCCAGAGCTACAATTCTCAGAGTGGTTTAACAATCAATCCCATCCCACACACCTAGGTGACCTGCATCTTCCTGGTATTCAGTCACCAGGTCTGAGGTTCCCTACTGATGATGTAGCTGAACACACACACACACACACCAATTCATGCTGCAAAAGCATACAAATTCTTTTAATTTAGTATCCGCTTTCCAAATATAAATTAACAGCTGTATTCACAGTATGTCATCCAACTAATTCAGCTACTTGAAGAAGCCTGTTAGATCTCTCGGTGCACCGAGCAGCCTCTTCCTCTGATCCATTTTTCCTTTTCTTCTCCTTTTTAAATTTAGGGTGAAACAAGATTGTTCCAAGAGTCCAGCACAGCAGGTAAACTTGCTTTATGTTGCCTGTATGCTTCCCTGCAGCCAAGCGCATTTGCACATCAACAGTATTGCTTTGCAGCAGGGCTACCCAGTGACATTATCTTCAAAAGTACTTCAAGGCCAGTGGAACGCTGCGGGGAGCTCTGCTTTTTTTAAAAAAAGCGAGAGCCAGGAATAAAGGAAACCTCACAAAACTTATTTATGAATTTCCTTGGCAATGTTGATTCTTTTACCAGCCCTAGCAATAGTGATTAGGGTGGGAGTTAGCAGAGATTCAGGACTGCACCAACTCAATTTGCCTGGTCACCTTGCTGCGCATCAGAACATTTCAGCATCCTTGGTGTGCTTTGGGAAATGTTTGACCGCTGCGGAGGGCACTGAAATCTAAGGCTATGATCTGGTTTCTGTCCCTTCTCCTTGCACACTGTATTTTTCAGCTGCAGGTTTTCAGCTGTCAAAGAATCTGACATCCCAGTTTTCAGGGCTCCACTGTGAGAGCGGTCTTGGGTGAGCCAGGAGCTGGGAACCAGGGGCTGTGGGGCAGAGCAGTATTCAGGACCCAAGAGTAAGTCAGAAGCCAAGGAGAAAGCAGAAGGGAGGCAGGAGTTGGAACCAAAAGGACGAAGGAGACAGGAGAAGCAGCAAGTCCAAATTCAGGACTGAAGAACAACCAAGGATATAGGAACATGGCGGAGCTCAGGCACTGCCCATACTCCTTTCTGTCTAGTAGGCTCCAAAGGCCAGCCTGGAAGGATGGAGGCAGTCCAGGGCCTGAAGTACTTCACCACAAAGCAGCCAGCTGTATTCCATGGGGCAGCTGCACACAGATCCCAGCAGCTCCTATAGTACCACATTGGCCCGAATATAAGCCGCATTCCCCCCCCCCCAAAAAAATCCGACCATGAAAAGTTAAAGTGCGGCTTATATTTGTGACCTTACAAAAATTACCCAGTATGCAGCCAGGAGCATGGGGCAAACAGTGCCCGCCCCACGCGTAGTCACCCGTCCTCTCCCCCAAGGCCGGGAAGGGAGAAAGCGGGGAAGGGAGTGGCTTATATTCAGGTATTGTCTTTTTCTCTCCCCCGCCCCCTTGACTTTTAAATGTGCGTCTTATATTTGGGTGAGGCTTATATTCGGGCCAAAGCAGTATATTGTTGCAACAGTGGCACACCAGCCCCCAACCTCTGCCAAATTCCAGGGAGTTCCAGGCGCTCACCCAGGTGATGTTTCCATTGTGAATCAAGATGGGGCAGAGACTTTAGTGACTTTATGCGCATATGTACAACCTGAGTGTAGGTGGGGGGAGTTGCAGATCTTGAAGCACTGTCATCTCAAAAGTGTCCCTCTCTGCTTCCCTCATGGAATAATAATAATAATAATAATAATAATAATAATAATAATAATTTATTATTTGTACCCCGCCCATCTGGCTGGGTTTCCCCAGCCACTCTGGGCGGCTTCCATAGAAACAAAAATACAGTAAAATATCACAGATTAAAAGCTTCCCTGAACAGGGCTGCCTTAAGATGCCCTCTAAATGTCAGGTAGTTATTTATTGCTTTGACATCTGATGGGAGGGCGTTCCACAGGGCGGGCGCCACTACCGAGAAGGCCCTCTGCCTGGTTCCCTGTAGCTTTGCTTCTCGCAATGAGGGAACCGCCAGAAGGCCCTCGGCGCTGGACCTCAGCGTCCGGGCAGAACGATGGGGGTGGAGACGCTCCTTCAGGTATACTGGGCCGAGGCCGTTTAGGGCTTTAAAGGTCAACACCAACACTTTGAATTGTGCTCGGAAACGTACTGGGAGCCAATGTAGGTCTTTCAAGACCGGTGTTATGTGGTCTCGGCGGCCACCCCCAGTCACCAGTCTAGCTGCCGCATTCTGTATTAATTGTAGTTTCCGGGTCACCTTCAAAGGTAGCCCCACGTAGAGCGCATTGCAGTAGTCCAAGCGGGAGATAACCAGAGCATGCACCACTCTGGCGAGACAGTCCGCGGGCAGGTAGGGTCTCAGCCTGCGTACCAGGTGGAGTTGGTAGACAGCTGCCCTGGATACAGAATCGACCTGTGCCTCCATGGACAGCTGTGAGTCCAAAATGACTCCCAGGCTGCGCACCTGGTCCTTCAGGGGCACAGTTACCCTATTCAGGACCAGGGAGTCCTCCACACCAGCCCGCCCCCTGTCTCCCAAAAACAATACTTCTGTCTTGTCAGGATTCAACTTCAATCCATTAGCCGCCATCCATCCTCCAACCGCCTCCAGGCACTCACACAGGACCTTCACCGCCTTCACTGGTTCTGATTTGAAAGAGAGGTAGAGCTGGGTATCATCTGCATATTGATGGACACCCAGTCCAAATCCCCTGATGATCTCTCCCAGCGGCTTCATATAGATGTTAAAAGCATGGGGAGAGGACGGAACCCTGAGGCACCCCACAAGTGAGGGCCCAGGGGTCTGAACACTCATTCCCCACCACCACTTTCTGAACACGGCCCAGGAGGAAGGAGCGAAACCACTGTATAACAGTGCCCCCAGCTCCCAGCCCCTCTAGACGGTCCAGAAGGATGTTATGGTCGATTGTATCAAAGGCCGCTGAGAGATCCAGCAGAACCAGGAAACAACTCTCACCTTTGTCCCTAGCTCGCCGGAGATCATCAACCAGTGCGACCAAGGCAGTTTCAGTCCCATGGTGAGGCCTGAATCCCGATTGGAAGGGATCCAAATGGTCCGCATCCTCCAGGCGTGCCTGGAGTTGTTCAGCAACCACGCGCTCAATCACCTTGCCCAAGAATGGAAGATTTGAGACTGGGCGATAGTTGGCCATACTGGCTGGGTCTAAAGATGGTTTTTTTAAGAAGCGGTTTAATGACCGCCTCTTTCAGCGGATCTGGGAATGTTCCCTCACAGAGGGAAGCATTCACCACCCGCAGAGCCCATCGCCCAGCCCTTCCCGGCTTGCTTTTATTAGCCAGGATGGGCAAGGATCAAGGAGACAGGTGGTTGCTTTCACGCGTCCAAGCAGCCTGTCCACATCCTCGGGGGTAACGGATTGAAATTGATTCCATGCAACTTGACCAGACAGAGCTCTAGCACTCTCCCGCCCTGGCCCTGCTCCCACGGTGGTGTCTAGCTCCTTCCGAATATGAGTGATTTTATCTGCAAAAAAACTTTGCAAAATAGTTGCAGGAGATCTTGGGGTCTTTACAATGCCCCGGTGGTAAAGGTGGTTCCGTTAAATTGCGAACCACCTGAAAGAGTCTCCTGCTACTATTTTCTGCAGATGCAATAGAGGCGGTGAAGAAAGTCTTCTTCTCCGTCGCTATCGCCACTTGGTAGGCTCGACGTTGAGCTCTAACCTGTGTCCGGTCAGATTCGGAGTGAGTTTTCTGCCACCGACGCTCTAGCCGTCTCAGCGATTGTTTCATCGCCCTCAGCTCCGAAGAAAACCACGGGGCTGTCCGGGCTCCATGCAATCGGAGAGGGCGCTTCAGAGCCAGACAGTCGATAGCCCTGGTTAACTCCGCATTCCAGCGGGCCACCAGGGAATCAGCTGAAAGGCCATCAACATGGGCTAAAGCATCCCCTACCACTCTCTGGAAGCCATTTGGATCCATTAAGTGGCGGGGGCGGACCATCCGAATTGGTCCCACCTCCCTGCAGAGGGGAAGGGTCGCGGAGAAGTCCAGTTGCACCAGGAAGTGATCTGACCATGGGACTTCTTTTGTTTCACTTTTACTTAGTGTCAGATCACCCACGTCACTAGAGGTGAACACCAGGTCTAAGGCATGTCCATGACTATGAGTTGGGCCAAACTTATTCAGGGACAGCCCCATGGAGGCCATGCTTTCCACGAAGTCCCGAGCGGCCCCTTGTAAGGTCATGTCGGCATGGATGTTAAAATCCCCTAGGACAACCAAACTAGGTGTCTCCAGGAGAAAATCCGCCACAACCTGAAGCAGCTCGGACAGGGAATCCTTGGTGCAGCGGGGAGGTCGGTACACCAAAAGGAATCCTGTACTGCCCCTATTGCCCAACTTCCAGAACATGCACTCAGAGAACTGGATCTTCCCAGTAGGACGTCTGGTGCAAGCTAGTGACTTCCTAAAAATCACTGCAACCCCCCCTCCCCGCCCACATGACCTGGGTTGCTGTGCGTAAGAGAAACCTGGAAAGAGAAATCAACCAGCTTGCGTCTAGAACAGCTACCCATGCTCCCTAGTCTCTGGGTCGCAGTCTCTCCAGCCAACAGATAAGGTGGTTCTGGCCCTCCAGCCCCCGCATGGAGTTCTAACCTGTCCAGCAGCTCATGGACCTTTGTTCTCCCTTCTTCTTCTCAGCAACTCCTTCCCATCGTCTTGGCAACCTCTGTTTTGCCCAGACTCACACACCTTCTTTGATGTTTGGATGCCTGGCCATTGTTTCATAATGGCCTACATTCAACCAGCATGGCCTGGCCTAGTCTACTGCTGCAGCCTGTATTTTCCCTTCAATATAAAAAATATAAGCTAGATTCTGACGTTCATTATTTTATTGGGTTTAGGGGGGTCTCCCTCCCAAACTTATAACAATGTCCATAATGTAGGCAACCACCTGAATGTCATAATTCCATGCATATGTAGCTAAAGAGACAATTTAGAAGAGAACGTTAACTCCTATGCTATTCTGAGGAGAACAGCACTGCGGGTGGGTTCAGAATAGAAAGGGTGGCTAGAGAATGGAGCATTCTGTCACAATCTGTGCCAGCCACAGAAAGACCCACACAGCTGGGCATTTCCCCAAAACCATACATAACAGAATGCTCCTTTCGTTGTATCCCACTTGGTTAGACACACACCAAGCAGTCATGCCAGAATACCGGTTTAAGGCTGTTTAACCATCCGGCTTTAAGAGCCTAGAGAAAAGCCTATAAGCAGGCTATTAGATGTTTCAGATAAATTGACAAACAAGTTAGCAGGCTCAGTAGGGAATGGAAAGGAGAGTAGATGCTAGCCGTGAGGGGTACACCCCACACATTCTCAAAACACTTCCATACCAGTGGTTCCATAGACTCTTTTCTTCATCAAACAAAACTTCACAAATCCACTGCTTTTCATGCTTTTTTCTCACTATTTGAACAATCTTTGCATTGTGCTTAAGGATGCACCAGGCAGTGGATGTTTTTTATCATTGGTCTCCTGGGCAGTATGAATTGGGGGCTTTCATACA